TGTCTGAATCACAGGGAAAATGCATTCTGGTGCTTCCAGTTGTGTACTAGCTGTGAAAAAAACCTCAAGTCCACACAGAAAAGATGGATTCTTGCAATAAGATCTATAACACGTGTCACTGAAAAATCCCTTTGCCAGGATTTCTTCTCCTGGGAAGATGAGAAGCTTCAGAGAAAAAACAATATTATTTGATTTGCTTCTCCTGTGTTTTGTTGCTTTGGAATATGGTTGGAGATTGTTTACCAACAGGTGGTTGTTTCATTGGTCCCATGTGAATTATTTTTACTTAATCACCAATCACCATCAGCTGTGTTGGACTCTGAGGAGTCAGTCATGAGTTTTTCATGACCATTCTTGTGAAGCCTTCTGTCTGTATCCTTTCTGTATTCTTTAGTATAGGTTTAGTATAGCATTCTTTAATGATATACTAAATAATATAATAAAATTATATAAAATAACATAATAAAATAATATATTGACTAATAAACAAATTAATAATTTTTAAAAATAATAAACTAATAATATCATAAAATAATAAATTAGCCTTCTAAGAGCATGGAGTCAGATTCACTTATCTCTCACCTTGAGAGAGATCCTGGGGACCCTTGCAAATACCACAAATGGTGACCTCAGATGTTGGCTGTAGCCTGTGCTGAAGAACAGACCCACATGTCTGTGCATGTTTGATGCAAATCCTGTGCAAATTGCCTTTCCAGGGATCTCAGGTGTGGGAAGTTAGTCTGCACATATCCTTCCCACAAGCCCTTCTTAGCACCTGCCACTGCTGTGATGTATGCCCGGGTGAAGCATCATATCTGTGTGACTCTGAACTACCTGAACGTGTCCACATGGCTGGATCCCCTTCTCGTCACTCCAGGGACAAAGTGTGGCTCTGGAAGGGTAAGGAGATATTCTGTAATCACCTGGAATGACAAATAGAAACTGTGAATATTAACAAGATCATAGAAACACAGATTGCTTGACTAAAATGACCTGGCCTCAGGGCAGAGCTGTGGCTTTGTCTTTTTTTGTCTTTTTTTTTTTTTTTTTTTTTTAAATAGTGTGTTTTCATTTCCCTTTGGGCCACAGCCTGATGTGCTGAGCGCTGTATGGGTGAGGCAGTGCTGGGCTGGAGCTGCCATGGTTTTTCCCAGGTGTGTATGAACGGCACATGCCACCCAGTGTCGGTGCTGGGACCGATCTGTGACAGCAACAAAAAGTGCCACGGCCACGGGGTGAGTGCCAGGGGTGCTGGGCTGGGGAGGGCAGGCTGTACCAGCCCCCTGCACACCTGTACCCCTCCCTGGCCCTGCAGGTGTGCAACAACAAGGGCAACTGCCACTGCAACATGGGCTGGCAGCCCCCCGACTGCCAGTGGAGGGGGTCCCGCCAGGGCGGCAGCATGGACAGCGGGCTGCAGTTCACAGAGGGAGGTGAGTGGGCACCCGTGGGATGGCGTGGGCAGGGCTGGCAGGGGCTGTGTGGGGCTGGCAGTGCCCATCGGGGCTGGCAGTGCCTGTGCCCATATGGGCTGGCAGTGCCTGTGCCCATATGGGCTGGCAGTGCCTGTGCCCAGCAGGGCTGGACAGACAGGGCTGGCAGTGCCTGTGCCCAGCAGGGCTGGCTGTGCCTGTGCTGGGCTCGACAGACAGGGCTGGCAGTGCCCATGCCCATCCAGCTGTCTCCCCCCAGGCCTGCATCGATCACTGGATGATGGTGACATGGCCTGGCTGGTGCTGGGCTCCTGCCTCATCCTGCTGTTGCTGACGGGGGCGCTGGGGCTTGGCCTGTGGCGGCAGCAGATGCCCAGCCAGCGCCACGGGGAGCGGGCACTGGGCACCGAGGGGTGAGTGGGGCCCCATGGCTGTGGGGTCTGGGGAGGCAGGGTGGGCCAAAGGGGGCTGAGGGCATCCCTGCAGAGGGGAGGGGATGGGGGGACTCCCATGGGAACATGAGGACACTGCCCAGGGCTGAGGTGACCTCAGGCTGAGGCACCCCCTGAGCCAAGGCAGGGCCAAGGCCCCACTGCAGATCCCCCACAGCACCAGCCAGGACACGGACAGGGAGCTGGAGCCAGACCTGGAGCGAAATCTGGAGCCAGAGCAGGAGGTAAAAAGGGAATCAGGCCTGGAGCTACATCAAGAGCCAGGCCTGGAGCAAAATTTGGAACCAGACCTGGAGGTAAAACGGGAGCCAGGCCTGGAGGTAAAACGGGAGCCAGGCCTGGAGGTAAAACGCGAGCCACACCTGGAGCTAAAATGGAAGCCAGGCCTGAAGCTACATCTGGAGCCAGGCCTGAAGCTACATCTGGAGCCAGACCTGGAGCTAAAATGGGAGCCAGACCTGGAGCTACCGGACCCAGAGCTGGCCCCAGAGCTGCAGACAGACACAGAGCTAGAGCCAGAGCTGGAGATGAAGCCAGACACGGACCCACCAGCAGAGCCAGCGCTGGGGCAGCACCACAGGCACTAATTAAAGGTGTTGGGCAAAGCAGGTGTCATGGCCAGTGCCCTGTGGTTTTCTGCTTACGTAGTTTATGTTTTTTATCAGAGTTGACCCTGCTCTCAGGGCTTAGGGGCCACAGCTGCTGAGATTGTCCCCTTTTCTCTGTGGGCACACGATGGTGGTTGGGATTTGCTCGTCTGTGAGGGCTGTGAAGCTGTTTGAGGCTGGGGGCTGTTCAGTAGGTGCTGGGGCTGCCTCTGAAGTGGAGCTCTCCTGTGTGACTGTGGATGTGTGTGGTTCATGGCCTCCTCCTCAGAGCTGGGGACCAGGGAAGGCCTTGTGTGGTGGCCCTGGTGCTGACTGTGAGTGAAGGCAACACCTCTGTTTTATATGTGAAATATATGTTACCTGCAGTGCCCTCAGACCTGCACCCCATGGGGATGTCAGTCCTGCTGTTTGTACCCCTGTGCCCCACAGGGATGTCAGTCCTGTTGTACCCTGGCCCTTCCCTTCCCCTGCACCCCCAGTGCCCCCAGCCCCAGCCCCTGCCTGCACAGGCAGCACTCTCAGGGCTGATTTTCCTCCAGAAAGCTGCTGTTTGGGAAGGCCCTGCTCAGAGCATCCTGCTGGACCCCGCTGGCAGCCCCAGTGACCCCAGCAGAATGGGGAAAGCAGCAGCATCCACTGTGCTTATGCATCTCTGGCCAGGTGTCAGCATCCACCACCCCCAGGCTGGAAGGGGATGCCCAGGCACAGGAGCAGTGTCCCTGAGCTGCTGTCCCAAGCCACCTCCTGTTGGAACCCAGGACATTCCTCTGGTTGCCCTGGAGGACTTGAGACCCTGCACAAGGGGCTCAAGAGACCTTGGCACAGAGCCCAAGACCCCTGTGCCTTTGATCTTGACCCATAGTAAAAACAATTACCAACTTTCATATGAAGAATTACAAGTCAAGAGAGTTTAAGTACAATAATAGTTTGTTACAGGGTGAAAAATAGATTTTTGAGGTTTTTAGAATGGGGGTTCAGGGGGTAAGATGGAGGAATCTGGGTGTGTCCAGCCTTTCTCCTCCTTCTAATTCTTGGCCTCCATCTTCTGCTGTGATGGTGGCACTTTGGAATTGGTTTAAGGTAGAAACTCACTGTCTAACATAGATGATAGGTATTGGGAAGTTATTGTAAATAAAGTACAGGTAGTTTTTAGTATAAAAAGATAACACTCCCAGGTGGTCAGTGTGCCAGACAGAACTCAGCAGGTCAGAGAAAAAATGTTATGCATAAGAAATAATAAACAAACTTGAGAATGAGAACAGAGGAATCCTGACTTCTTCTTCATGTGCTGGGCTGGGAAGAGGAGACTTGCACTTATCTCAGAGTCTGTGACCAGGAGAGATTCTGAGAACCTCCCACCACACGGGAGCCTGGCAGCCCTTTGGGGCAGCCCTGGGAGGAGTCAGCTCACAGCCCCAGAGACAGGTGACCCAAGGCTTTCCCATCCACAGGAACAGAGTTGAATGTTTGCAGCAGACAAAGCCTTATCAGCAACCTTTAGCCGTGTTTGCTCAATGACCCTCTGGCCATTGGGCAGCCAGGCTGACCCCCCAGGCCCAGGTGCTGGCTCAGCACATTCTGCCAGCGGGGTGGCCAGGCCAGAGCAGCCCTGGCAGGCAGCACCAGCCATGGAGGGCAGCGCTGACACCGAGGAGCCCCCGCTGCTGCCCCTGGCACTGAGCAGGTTCCACATCTCCGAGGAGTTTGGCTTCCTGCTTCCCAATCCTCTGGTAGGAGCTGGCTGTGCCTCCCTATCTGCGTGCACAGGAAAGAGAGGGGCTGGTGAGCGGCTTTCTGCTGGGGGAGCTTGGATTTAGCATTTTTCTGTAGCACTTGACAAAGAAATACGAGGAAGGCAGTTGTTATTCTGGCACAGGCAGTTTCATAGGACAAACCCCTACCCTTTAAAATTATGAAAGCAGCTGCAGCAAGCAGCACAGAGGAGAGGTGAAGGAGCTCTGACTGGCCTTGGCTCTACAGGATTCTGGGGAGCACAAGAAGTGTAGGTGTCCTGTGCCCAAACTGGGGCTGTTTATCCCTTATAGGAATGTGTTTCTTGGTGGCAGAGTGACAAAACTATCTTTTGTTCTTTTAAAAAGGAAATAAGCCTAGAAGTTTTTCTCTTCAATGGTGAAAAGACATGTCATAAGACTTAGGGGACTTCAAACTTAAGGATAGCTAATTGGACAGAAGCTAAAAAGTTTTGCTTAAGTAATTAATTTGAAAAACCCAAAGAAATTAATCACTTTTTAAAAGTATTTTACTAAAACGAAAAATGTTTAACATCTAACAGTTTTTTTGTTTGTTATTTTACTTTTTATTAGACTTTTTTATTTTTAACGCTGTAACAAAAGCTATTTTGTTAATTTTTATGTTTTTAAAAGTAGCTAAGTGTGTTACAAGTCTCTGAAAACTTATTAAACCTAACTCAAAAAAGCTGCTATAACAGCTGGGAGCCTGGGCACGTTCACAGCCCTCCCTCTGCCTCTCTCCACCAAGACAGAGCTGCCAGCACCCTACAGTCCCTGGATGGACATTGCCCATGAGCTGCCCCAGCTGATCACGAGCCACCAGCTCCGCTCACGTGTGCACCAGGTATGGGCTTCTCCTTCCTGCCCACCAGGTATGGGCTTCTCCTTCCTGCCCACCAGGTATGGCCTTCTCTCTTCTGCCCACCAGGTATGGGCTTCTCCTTCCTGCCCACCAGGTATGGGCTTCTCCTTCCTGCCCACCAGGTATGGCCTTCTCCCTCCTGCCCACCAGGTATGGCCTTCTCCCTCCTGCCCACCAGGTATGGGCTTCTCCTTCCTGCCCACCAGGTATGGGCTTCTCCTTCCTGCCCACCAGGTATGGCCTTCTCTCTTCTGCCCACCAGGTATGGGCTTCTCCTTCCTGCCCCCAGAGCTCTCTGAAACCTTGGTCTCAAGCTTTACAGACACAGCAGTGTCTGAAAAACCTGCCAAATATGTGCTGAGCCAGGACAGACACCAGGCGACAGCAAAGGCTTAACTTTGGCACAGAAACAGCTCCTGCAGCGGATCCAAGCGCTCAGCAGGCAGCAAGGGATGGAGCAGGGCCCCTCTGGGTGTCACAAGAACCATGTCTCATCCCAGCCATGATCCCTGATGCAGCTCCTTTTGGGATCAGCTGCCCCATGGGCATCCCAGCACCAGGAGGAGGAAAACCCCATGGATTGCTGTCCCTGCTCACAAAGCAGTAACAAAGCACAATTCCTGCAGAGAGGGTGGGAAGGGAGGCATAAAGAGAAGGACCAGGAGGGTTCTCCCCAGCTGGCAGGGCAGCCCCTCCAGCACAGGGCCCTTGGCATTGCTGGCTCTGCTCCTTGCTCCCAAGGGTTTCCCTGGCAGATGCCGCAGCTGAGCCCGCAGCAGCTCCGAGGGCGTGAGGAGCTGCACTTGGCACACCTGGTGCTCAGCTTCATCACCATGGGCTACGTCTGGCAGGACGGCGAGGAGGGCACCGTGCAGGTAAAGGCAAGGTAAAGCAGGGTCACCTGCTCCTTGGGCTCTGGGAGCTGCTGCTGCTCCCTTAGCACTTCCCCATGGGAGCAAATCCCCTTTCCTGTGGCTGCAGCAGGAGCTGCTGCCACCTTTCCACAGCCTGACCACATCCCCACCTTCCCCTGTGCTTTGTGACACTCAGGTCCTGCCCAGAAATCTCGCTGTGCCCTTCTGGGAGGTGTCCCAGGCCCTGGGCCTCCCACCCATCCTCAGCCATGCAGACTTTGTGTTGGCCAACTGGAGGAGGAAGGACCCCGATGGGTAAGCAGCAAATGCCAGTGGGCAAGCATGGTTCTTCCCGCAGGTGTCAGGGACAGATCAGTGATCAGCAGGACAGACTGGTCCCAGACTGCTCCTGCTCTGCCAATGCCCCTTGAATCCCATCTTTGCTGGGCTCAGCCTCATGGGTGTGGACACAGGGACTCTGTGGGGATGTGGGTGTCTCTGGGAGCAGCCCCTAGGAAAAACTCCTCTGTTCCCTGCAGAGCATGGGGCCATTTCAACTCCATCAAGTGAAAAAGTTACTCCTCTGCTGGGTATTAAATCCACTTTGCACAGCAGACAGTCTCAGAGCAAAGGAAAACACCTTCTGTGCCCAGCACAGATCCCAAGGTCCCTCCAAACCCTCCCTGCCCCAATTGTGCCCAGATTTGCTCTTTGCACACATGAGTCACACGCTGAAGTCAGGAGCTCCCTTCATGTCCAGAGGGAGGAAAAGAGGGAAAGTGGATGAAGAGCTCTCCTGTGCAGAGCCAAGGTTACTAGAACAATTGTTACTAGAACAATTTATAATCTCTCTCTCTCTCTCCTTTTCTTGTGCATTTTGTTGGCCATAACTGCAACGCCTCCAGGCCTCTGGAAATGGAGTAAGTACTTACTGCTCATTTATTTTCTAACGGTGTTGGTTATTGTTTGGATTGGCTCAGCTGTGTAGCACTGCTTGGGCTGAACCTCTCTTGATGTGCGTTGTATTTGTCACACAAGTGCCACTGCAGTGACAGCACAGACCATGGGGAGGGCACAGGGAGGATGGCAGGGCCCCTAAACCACAGCAGTCCTGCTCTCCTGTCACTGTCATATTTTCTGGAAAAATCCCTTTGCCAAGATTTCTTCTCCTGGAAAGCTGAGAAGCCTCAGAGAAAAATGAAAACAATAATTATCTGATTACTTCTCCTGTGTTTGCTGCTTTGGAATGTGGTTTGGACATTGTTTATCTAATAGGTGCATGTTTGGTTGGTTCTATGTGAATTATTTTTACTTAATGACCGATCACTGTCCAGCTGTGTCAGGACTCTGGACAGTCATGAGTTTTTAATTAGTATTTTGTTAAGCCTCCTGTAAGGATCCTTTCTTGATTCTTTAGTATAGCATAATATAATATAATGTAATATAATATAATGTAATGTAATATAATATAATGTAATATAATATAATGTAATATAATATAATGTAATATAATATAATATAATATAATATAATATAATATAATATAATATAATATAATATAATATAATATAATATAATATATAAATTATATAATAATAAATTAGCCTTCTAAGAGCATAGAGTCATTCTCAATTCGTTCATCCTGTGGACCCTGCAAATACCACACTCCCCTTTCACTCTGCGCCAGCTCCTCTGCTAAGAGGCTCTGGAGTGTGGGATGGTTTTGTTCCCCGGGTCCCACAGTGTGTAAGGAAATCCTGAGCCACCATCCCTCCCCAATCCCTGTTCTTGGCTCTTTTGTGCAGGAACCTGGACACGATCATCACACTGCCTGGAGGCGACAGTCTGAGGGGCTTCATCCTTGTCACCGTGCTTGTGGAGAAGGCAGCTGTGCCTGGCATTAAGGTGGGTACCACCCTGTGTTGGGGATCTAAAGTGCCTGAGGTGCACCCACAAGGTGTTCCTGTCCCTGAACCCAGGCTGGGGAAGGGGCAGAGCTGCCATGGGTGGCAGCAAATGTCCAGAGCTGCTGTCCACAGACATCCTCCCCCTTTGTGACCTGGTGCTGTCCCTCCTCCTCCCTCAGGCAATCCCTCGGGCCCTTGGTGCCACCGTGCAGGGGGATGAGGAGTCCCTGCACAGAGCCCTGGAGGAGCTGGCAGGGGCCATCGAGGCCATGAGGGAGGCACTGAGGAGGATGCATGGTGAGAGCAGCTGGTGTCTGTGCATGCTGCAGCTCATGGCACCCTCTGCTGCAGCTGCCCATCACCTCTGATCTGATCTGATTGACTTCCTCCTAGACTATGTGGACCCAGAAGTATTCTACTCTGTGGTCCGGATCTTTCTCTCTGGGTGAGTGGATCTTTCTCTCTGTTTCCCTTCAGAGCCACAGGGCTGGGGGGAGCTGGGGAGGTGCAGGGAAGGGGCAGCCCAGGTGGGATATGGAGTTCCCCAGGGCAGGGTAGGGACCAGCATTGCTCTCCCTAGAGCATCATGATCCTGTCCCTCAGGAATTCCTAGGCACTGGAATTGGGGATGGATGTGGCCAAGGGCTGGGGTCTGCCTCCCTCCAGCTTCTCTCCATCCTTCAGCTCAGCCCTGACAGCCCCAAGAGCCAGAATTGAGCACAAATGAATCTTTCCTGCTCCTGGCCAAACAGTTTTGACAGGAGAAGAGGAATTTCTCTTTCCTTCCACACTGTGTACACAAAGTTGCAGAGCTGAGCAGAGGCTCTTCCCACTGCGCGTTAAGCAAACATCCTTAACAATCCTCTTGCTGCTGCTCTGTTACAATTCTGTCACTTCAAAAAATAGAAAATTCCCCCCCAAATACTGAAAATGTTGTTTGGGCAAGGCAGAACCACAGCCCAGGAGCCCAGCATGGAGCCTTCACCATCCCCCAGCACCCCTGTGGGGCTGCAGCATCTGCAGACACTCAGTCTCAGACTTCTCGGGGGATTCTATTTTTATTTCTCTCCATCATATCTCAGAATTTCCAAGTAAAAGGCTCCGTGCATCGTGATTAAGTTTCTCTCATTTTTTATCCAAGCTGACCTTGTCTCGATGGTCATCAGCTTGGGAAAACATGCCTTTTAAATTCCCTTCTGCTTCTAAGAACTTCCCACTAGTAGAGCTTACTATAAATACAATCCTGAGAGAACTAAAAATATTCTGGTATTTGATAATGAATCTATTTTCTCTGCAGTTTGTGTAAAATCTGTTCCTGTAGCCCAACTGCAGCCAGCACCCAAAGCCTCATGGAATGGTGCTTTCTGCTAAAAGTCAACAGATATTTTTGTGCTGGGCACTTCACCTCCCTGAAATCACAACCCCTGTCTCCATTTGGGTGTGAGCACTTCTCCATTTCAGCACTCAATGGCCGCTGACATTCAAGGAGTTGATGTAAAGTGCCACTGTTGCCTAGAAAAGTGCTCCTTCCCCTCTCTGCTTGCAGAAATCTTCCTGAGCTGGAGCAGGAGGTGCAGCCAGGCAGGGCAATGTGTCCCAGCACCATGCTGGGTGCTCACCAGGGCGTGGAGATCCCAGAGAACATTCTTCTGGCGAAGGAAAATCAAGGACTTCTCCTTCCCTGGCCTCGCTGTGTGCTTTGACACAGAATCTGATTTCCAAGTTTATCTCCTGTTTGAGGAAAGCTGACATGGCTGTATTGGAGGAGGGGATCCATGGGCTTGGCCAGGACAGTTTCCCTTCTCACAGGGCCCAGAAAAAAATTAAGGAAAAGGCCCAGAAAAAATGAAGGATTTCTCCTTACCCCCATGGCCTCACAGTGTGCTTTGACACAGAATCTGATTTCTGAGTTTATCTCCTACTCAAGGAAGGCTGACATGGCCATGTTGGAGGAGGAGATCCATGGGCTGGGCCAGGAAAGTTTTGCTCAATCTTGCCAGCCCAAGGTCCCTTCTCACAAGGCCCAGAAAAATTTAAGGAAAAGGCCCAGAAGAAATTAAGGATTTGTCCTTACCCCCATGGTCTCACTGTGTGCTTTGACACAGAATGTGATTTCCAAGTTTATCTCCTGTTTGAGAAAGGCTGACATGGAGGAGGAGATTCATGGGCTGGGCCAGGAGATCCTGCGCTAGGCCAGGGAAGTTTTGCTCAATCTTGCCCACCCAAGGTCCCTTCTCACAGCGCCCAGAAAAAATTAGGGATTTCTCCTTATCCCCATGCCCTCACTATGTGCTTTGGCACAGAATCTGATTTCCAGGTTTATCTCCTATTTGAGAAAGGCTGACATGGC